CCCCAAAACCCCAAAACCCCAAAACCCCAAAACCCCAAATAGAGAAGAATACTTTTCGTAATAATTTATTATTTCAATGAACAAAATTAGAGATGGTATGTATCTCTTTAACCTTAAATCTAGGATCGTCAATTCTAATGGATATTAGACAAGACAATACAGTAAGGATATTCAATGACATTTTGTAGATAAAAATGTTCTCTGATATCAAAACCCAGTCTATATTACTAAAAGATCAAATTAACCTAATAAGTTACTCTCATTTGTAATTTATAGAGAAAAATTTGGGAAACCTCAAAGAACAGCTTTTAAAGAAGAGGTAAATTATTTCTGAATTTTCAGAACAAAATATGGATATGATCTAAGCCCAAAAGATAGCAAAAATTAGTAATATTTCTGTTCTTTATGACTAGCTTTGATAAACAGATACTAAATGTCTGAAAATTGACCAGACAACTGATAAGAATATTTCTTAGAGAACGAAATCAAGATGAAAGTAAATATAATACTCCTACATTTAGATGGATTAGATGTTGGACATTTTAGTCGCGTTACTCAATGGCAGTAGGATGCCTTTAGCCTTATCTTTAGAACATATGATGAATCAAACAGGGATCTTAAAAATGAACTTATTTCTCCTAAACAGAAAGCTCTATCAAAGCTTGCCCAAATAGGCAATCTAGTATCTGTAATTGACAATTTCAATGTGACTTCGACAAGTTTCCTTAAAGATTTTCAAACTTATGGGAAATAAGGTGACTATGTACAAAGATCTCTACAATATGTTCAGACTAATGTACAAACTACGGAAGTAAGCCACTCCTATTACCCAATCTAGTCTCATAATCCAGCTGCAGACCTACTGAAGCAAGGTAATCTGCTGTAACTTCAAGAGCAAGGTAGGATATCTCTGACAAATTTTAGATAGATATTCGCATTTTGGAGAACCCAGAACTAAAGAGAATAGTCTCTAGAGTAATTAAATGAAGGCTAATGGTCTAGAACAAGAATAGCTCAGTGATATAAAGCCAATGGATGAGTATGAAGTAGGCAAAATTAGCTATTTTTTGAGAAACAAAATGTGCATTCTACCCAAGCTAAAGGAGAAATAAGATCTTAAAAACCCAAAGGATGTAAATTTGTGCCGTTATTTTTAGGAGAAGCAAGGAGTTAGTCCTTGAAATAGACTCTGAATCATCTTGTTCTGAGAGAATGATCGATCACAGTAATTCTTCGTCAAAAGCTGATTCTACTATCAAATTAATTCAAAAGTTAATGTCAAAGGAAAGATAATGATATCATTATGTAGAAATAAAAGAAGACATAAGAGCCAGATTATTATCAAAGACATACCAAATCCTCATCAAAAAGCAAATTTATTAATTAATCAATAGGATTCTCAAGGAAGAATTAACTTCAAGTTTGGCAATAACTCAATCTCCCGGCCTCACATAGTAAGCCCCAAACAATTATTTCAGGTCGATATCCATACAGTAAAAGCTTTAAAAGCAGGTCTTATGCTATGTAGTTCAAACACCATTCAAAAACTATCAAGCGACCGTCATCTCCAAAGCAGTATCTCCAGAACTACCGTCCAGAGACCTGTTTTTCCCAAAAACCCGCACCGGAGACGCTACAGCTCCAATGCTCCACCCCAAAACCCCATCTCACAGGCATACCGCAACCGGGTCCCTCTGAACCCACCTGGAACTCAGCCTGTTCCTCAAAGATTCCAGCTTAAGCAGTCAATTTAAAATTTGTAGAATTTTTGAGAGTACAAAATACCCTGTTTCAGCACATATAGGCTGAAATTTCAGGTAAAAAGTAGGTAGTTATATTTATGAAATCTTCAATATTATCGATATTTTGGGGTTTTGGGGTTTTGGGGTTTTGGGGTTTTGGGG